ACAATACAATAGAGGCTAAGGGCATTTCAATCACAAATTGTGGTGCATATAACCAAAGTCAGTATCCAGAGCACAAAAAAGAGGGTTTGCACAGTCTTGCATGTCAATGAGTCATTTTGTTTTGTTGCATGCTGAAGACAGCATAGCCCTCCTGTTCAGCCCTGTGCTGATGTGTGACCACAAAGAAAACATCTCATTGAAGTGAGTGTGCAAACCCCCTTTTTGTACATTTTATACAATAAAGCATTTGCCAGAAATTACAAAGAAGTTGAATATAAAGCACCTGATAAAACTGCAGATCTTTGTTGTGAACACAAAGTTCTGTCAAATTTTATATATTTATGCTTCAAATGAATTTAATCTTCATCACTGCCACCAAAACAATTTGAGCCCTTCACAAATCTTTGAATCTGACCTAGAGGTCCCAACAGACAGCAGGTTTGACCGAGTGCTTGAATACTCACCCAGTCCTCTGTGTAATGTCAATACCATTGCCCAGCTTGCACCATCTTAACACTTTGTTCCACATTAACACTGGTAGCCACTATACATGTTGATGGCTCCATCCTTGCCCCACCCTAACACTCAGACTGGAGTCTTCCAGTCGCAGCCAGCAGGTTTCTGTGGACACTAATGGGTCATTAACATGATACTGCTGAGTGAGTTGAAAAGGCCTGAGTGACCTCTCCATCCACAGAACATGAGGAAGAAGAAAGCAGAGGAAAATGCACATTGAGGTTCAAACAACATGTTTGCTAAAAGAAATATTTCTAGACTGAAGACCACTTGTTCAGATGCAGGGAAAACATGATAAAATGATTTCAATGCACCATTAAAAAGTGGCCCTATGTAAGTAAATTACATTCAGATCCATAGGTGGTTTAAGGCAGCTGTGACTGGAGAAGAGCTTCCACTATAATAGAAATAGACATTCTATTTCTGAAATACAGCACCAGCCCAATCATTATCATTTATGCACATTTTAATAAACACACAGCCATCAGTCTTGTGCTATAATGGCAGAGCTGTGCAGAGATGAGGAGAAACACTGCAGTCTGTATGTTTCTCTGTCCTTTCTATTAAAAGCATCTGAGCTCAGCAGTGAGACTCTTCCTGGCTATTTTGTCTGGATACAGGCCCTTGTCCAGCTTCTGACAGACAGACACTGGGTGGTCTTTTTTTCACATGAATAGAATTACAAAACAAACTATTCAATCAACAACAATCCATTACAACCAGGCCTCATCAAGCTCTTTCACTATTTATATCACATTCACAAAATCACAACTTTTTGATGAAATCCTGTAAATAATTCTGTTTTCTTGTACAAGAACTCACATAGCAACACTTGATGTAAATGTATTTTGCATTCCATAAAGAAACATGCTTTTTATTCCTGGCACTTGAGGGAGCCAGAAACAGCTTTTACTGTGGCCATACCTTTTTTTTAATGTGTGATCTACATTCTCACTATAATGAAATGCTAACAGGGCTTTGTTAATATAATGTACATTTAGACAATTATTCTAAGCTGGCCCAGAGGTTTAAAGTATCACCAGTATCTGCTGATTCATTTGGGTTACAAAGGCTGAGAAAGCATTTACTGTTACCTAAGGTTTGGAACATTTATCTGATACCAACTGATCTAAACTGATAAATGACCTTGTTACTATTTGAGTTCTCCTGCTATGTAACCTTTTGAACCACTCTTGTAATAGTCACAGTATTTGACTTGTTAGGTATTTTTAGCAGATAGATATTGGATAGATACTTTATGTATTAGAAATGTTAAGTGGAAATAGGATGTCTAGTTAGACTGTTAAATGCTTAGTCATGCTTATGAGTTTCTACAGGCTACATCTGGTCAAGGATAACTAGAGAGAAGAGTTGATGACTGTCAGCAGACAGGGTGTTTAATATTATTATTATGATGTGTATAACTGTAGCCTTAGCCATAATATGTTCTTATGTTTAAGTCACGACATGTTACTAGAGGTCGTGTGAGAATGTTTTTAGCTACTGTAAGCTATTTTCCAGCTCTTTTAACCAGGAACTCAGAGAGACGAGGCGGACCACTTGGATATATAAAAAAAACGTGCTGGTTTATTCAAAGAATCACAGGTAAAATTAACATTAC